CTTCTTACTAGAATTTGAGTTCTGCACCCCACCTTTCTCCTGCTCCATCCGGGACTCTCTGTTGTGTTCCCTGTCAGGGTAGTCATTGGTGGTAGCCAGGCACCATCTAGTTCTTCTGGTCTCAAGCTGAAAAGTTTCTGGTTTATGTGGCCCTTTCTGTCTCTTGGGCTAATACTTTCCTTGTGCCTTTGGTGTTCTTCATTCTTCTTTACTCCAGGTGGTTTGGACCAATTGATGCATCTTAGATGGCTGCTTGCAAGCTTTTAAGCCCCCAGATGCCACTCACTGAAGTAGGGTGCAGAACATTTTAATAAGCTTTGTTATGCCAATTGACCTAGATGTCCCCTGAAAGCATGGTCCCCAGATCCCTACCCCTGCTACTCTGTCCCTCAAAGTGTTTGACTGCAATACATCTTGATTTAAGAAATGTTCAAATGTGAGGAAAAGATTAATAAAATATCCTATTTGCTATACAATCCTAAGCATGTTGTTGTTAGGTGCCGTCGAGTCGGTTCCCACTCACAGAGACCCTGTACAACATCGCTTGGTCCTGGCCATCCTCACAATCTTTGCTGTGTTTGAGCCCATTGTTGCAGCCACTGTGTCAATCCATTTCATTGAGGGTCTCCCTCTTTTTCACTGACCCTCTACTTTACCAAGCAAGATGTCCTCCTCCAGGGACTGGTCCCTCCTGACAACATGTCCAAAGTATGTGAGAGAAAGTCTCACCATCCTCGCTTCTAAGGAGCATTCTAGCTGTACTTTTTCCAAGACAGATTTATTCTTTCTTCTGGCAGTCCATTGTATATTCAATGTTCTTCACCAACACCATAATTCAGAGGTCACTCTGGATGACTCTCTGGTGGGAAAGTTTATGTCAGATGCTTTAGTACACACACAAAGTAAGTTGCAAGCCTAAAATTAAAGGGGTGGTGGTGGTGGTGGTGAATGAAGTTGGGGTGGGGGAAGGAGAGAAACAGGGTGGAAGATAAAACAAAATAGGAACAATCTTCACCATCTACATAACTCTTTTATGTCATAATTTCCCTGACCCTCATAGCTCTGCAACCATTGTGGTGTTAACATTCCCATTTCAGAAATGAGACTCGGGCGCTGAGGGATAGGAAGGGATTTTCCTGAAGTGAAACAACTAGATGGAGGCAAAGCTAAGACACACCTTTTGCTGTTATGTCTTCCAGACTCCTGAAGGAAAACTTGAGATGAGGGGTAGATTGATTCCACTTTATCACACACATAGGATAGGTAAACACGAAGACAGTGATGAAAGTAGTTTCTAGGTTGGTGAGATTGTGGGCGATGAAAAATAATTTAAATAGGGTTGGTATTATCTTTTAAAAAATAATTCTGCCAATTTAGGGTATGACATTAAAATGGAAAGAAACGCCTTATCCAGCTGAAATCTCCCCGCGGAAGAGTGATTTATCCAGTAAGCTAGAGGTTAGTCAGAACTCCAGGATGCACCCGAGACACCGGGGCAACGTTCCTTGGGCTCATCAACAGGAAGTCATTTCTGACTCAGGTGCACGTCTTTGCTTTTCCATCAGCGTCCCCTTCCGCGCGCCGATCGCCTACGCCGGGCTCAGCTAAGCAGAAGCTCCCCATCCTTTCCAACGGGTAACGAGCGCCATCTACTGGCCCTCAGCCTCTCGGCCCCTGAGAGCAATGCGCATGCTCCTTGCTTACTCCTCCTCCGTCGCCTGCGGGCTTTTCGCGACATCCGGCCCAGCGGCGGCCTGAATCTTGCGATAAAGGCCAATTGTCTCGCGGGAGCGCGGCTGGCCGACGGGCGCTCGGGCGGCACTGGCCGGGAAAGAGGAGTTGCATGTGTCGCTTCAGCTGGCGAGAGCGGCCGGAGTGGAGGCGGCGGGAGCTGTGCGACCGCTTGGGTAACGGCCCCTTGTGTCTCTCCCGCTTTAGAGAAGCTCGTAGAGAGCGTGGGGGAAACAGGTGCTGCCTGGCGAAGGGGGCCGGGCCGGGCGTCTCCACACCCCCGCCCACATGGGCCCCTCTGGTGTCCCCGGGGTTGCCCCTTCGCCTCAGACCTCCTCCCCTCCCACCCGGCCGTCGCCTCAGTGCTCTTTTATTCCGACCCTTCCTGGTTCTGCTGTCCCCGTTTTCTCCCCTCAGCCTCTGGTCTCCCCGCCCCCCCTTCTCCCTTTTCTGACTCCTGTGTGTCTACCTTGGCACTTCGCTGCCCCCACCCTTTCGTGGGCTTTTTCAGCCTCAGGTCACCGCTGGCATTGTAGCCATTCTCTCTTGCTGCAGTTTACGTTCCTCTTAGATCACCCCAAGACCTCTGCCTCGTCTTTGCCGAGGTCACCCTCCCCATCTTTTTCATCCCTTTCCCATTGGTTCCTTACTTTTCCTCATGAGTCCCCTCCACCCCCCACCCGCGCACCCCCAGTCCTGCATGGACCATTTGCTAGGAATCTCACTGCCACTTCTTGCTTCTCTGTAGACCTGTGGTCCTGGTCAGTGTTGCACCCAAAATTGCTCGTATTTTGTGAATCCTAGTGCAGCTTGTATCCTTTGCTTTACAGAGAAATGAAACTGATTTGGGGTGAGGGGGTTTCTGGTGGAAGAAGGCGAGACTGGGGTCTTGGTCCAGTAGAGTAAAGGGGTGTTATTTTCCTCACTTGCAGGTTTGTGAGATGGCTACTGACCTTTCTGAGTCCAGTGGGCCTGATAGTAAAGGAGACCCGAAGAGCAATGCCAAGTTAGATACAGATTACCCACTTCGAGTCCTTTATTGTGGAGGCAAGTATTGGAAGGCAGAAAATGGTCTTTTCTCACTGTATTTTTATGCACTGTGATCATAGCTTCACATTTAGTCCTGTTACGCTTCTTTCATCTGTCTTTGCCCTTTGATGAATCCTTAATTGCAGGGGGGAGGGTTGGTGAGGAGGATGCATGGGTTAACAGATAACCTACCTGACTGCGTCTGCTACGTGGCCTGGAGAAGTTTACAGTCCAGTTGGAATTTTTTTCTCTTTGCCATTGAGTCAATTCTGACTCATGGCAACTCCATGTGTTACAAAGTAGAACTGAGCTCCATAGGGTTTTCCTGGTGTAATCTTTATGGAAGCCAATTGCCAGGCCTTTCTTCCGAGGTGCCGCTGGGTGGCTTCAAACCACTAACCTTTGGTTTAGCAGCTGAGCACAAATCATTTGTGCCACCCAGGGACCTCCAGTTGGAATAGAGACGTGCAAATAGAGCATTTCAGCCTAATGTTTAAGTGCTAGTCTGGCTACTAAAGGAGGATTTCTTGGAAGATGGTAAGGACTGGATGAAAAAGTGGGGAAGGGCATCCCAGGAGGAGGGAATAGCTATGCAGGAAAAAGCTTGATGTGTGCCTGTGGAAATATGAGCAGCTTTGTATTAGTGTAGTGTAGGTATTAGATAAGGAGTGGGAGAAGATGAGATTGGAGTGATGGATATAGTAGGGTGATCTCAAGAAAATCATCTCGGTTTGATTATTAATATATTAAATTTATTCAGGTTTTTTTTTTCTTTGAGTGTTTTTTCTCATTTTCAATACAGAAATTTGTGGATTGGAGGCACCCTATTTTATTAGCACCTTGGACTGTTTCAGAAAAATTTGAAGACTGAGGACAGTAAGAGGGCTAGATTTATTTATTCACTCAGAATCTTTTTGTGTACTTGTGACTGGGAATGTTTCAGAGGCTGGGGACTGAGTCATGAAGAAGTCAGACAAGGTCCCTCGTCTTGTGGACCTCAACCTTCTTGTGAGTTCTATTGAGACCTCACCTAGAGTTTAAGTCTTGTAGAAGAAGAAGTGATGTCATTGAGTTTGAAACTAGCAACTCATCACCTGAGTATCTTTGATAGTAAAATAAAATTAGTGTACAATATCTGGACAGAAGAGTAGGCAGGGGAACTTTTTGTAGAGTTGATTGAGTTTTGTTATGATATTGGTCATTGGGTTTACTTGGCCTCACAGACCAGGGTTTGCCTGCTGACTCCAGCGCTTACCTGCTGTGTGACCGTGGGTAAGTTACTTAAGTTCTCCAAAGTTGAGAGGTCTGTTTCTGAGGTTTTCGAAATGAAGGTTATGTTACATCTTAAGTCCGATGATTTGTGTAAAGTTCCTGGTACAGCATCTAGCACAAAAACTTAGTAACTAGTCAGTAAATGCCAGCTACTAAAGGAAAAAGATTCAGAGATGAAGTCCATGATTTCTAAACTGGAATAGTTGAAAAATGGGGATGCTACTAAAAGTGATGAGGTTGAGAAGAATTAGATTTAGAAATGGATGATAGGTTCATTTTCTAATACAATGAGTTTTTTAGTTTATCGAAATGGAAGAATTCAAGTACTTTGAAATTGGCAGCAGGGAAATAAAGATTTGGGACTATCAGCCTTAGAGATAATGGTCTGAAAGTGGAAAGTATGTGAGTTTCTCTAAGGAAGGGGGAAACACCAAACAGATCCTCGAGGATGCACTTGGAGTGAGGTGAGCTGGGTGGATTTCACCACATGAAGAAATTGTTTCATTGGTGGGAAGTTGGAAAGACTAGTAAGAATGTTAGCCTCTAGAAATCCTGTTTTATTATTTTTCTGTAATTAAGGAGTACAACTAAGGCTGCTTGAGAAACTGGTACCTTTATACTAATAAAATGCCCAGAATATAGGTTCCTGTTGTAATTTTATGACGGTTCCTTGTGGAATGACGTTTTCAATTTGAAAGCCTATGTGAGTAAACAGGAGCCCCAATGGCGCAGTTGTTATGTGCTCAGCTGCTAACCAAAAGGTCTGCAGTTCGAACTTACCAGCCGCTCCGCAGGAAAAAATACCTGGTGACCTGCTCCCGTACAGTCCTGTTCTGTCCTGTAGGGTCGCTGTGAGTCAGAATCGACTCAGTGGCACACAACGATAACAACGTGTGAGTAAAGGATAAGATGTGCTTTTTATGGTCTCAAGGGTTCAGTGAAGTAGCACTGCTAGGTGGAAGCTACTGCAAGTTTCATTTCTGTCTAAGGGTGATTTTTCAATATCCAGAACAACACTGGCTTCTATTCTTCGTAAAAACATTCTTGAAGTCCTGGGGTGGTGCAATGGTTAAGTGCTCGACTACCAACCAAAAGATTGTCAGTTGAAACCTACTCAGCACCTCAGAAGAAAGGCATGGCGATCTGCTTCTGTAAAGTCACAGCCTTGAAAACCCTGTGGAGTGCAGTTGTTACGTTTCTAGTTGAATAAACCAATGGTAGATACCGGTTTAGACTGTGCCTTTTAGGTGGCTTCTAACTCTACTGCTTTATAAAAATAGTGGAAAGTATGATGACATTGTTAATAGGGATGTCGTCATAGTGAATTAATAATTTACAAAAAATATAAGAAAAGTACTAATCGAATGGATATTTATTTATCGAGTGCTTATGATGTATCAGGTCCTGGGCTAAGCTCTGTGCAGGAATGATAAATTGGCATGGCCCTGCTGTTAGTCTATTCATATCTTACACAGGGTGGATATTACTGATGGCTGAAAGAAAGATACAGGTAAAGTTTAGTGGCAGTACAAGGGAAGGAGAGATTTCATTCACTTGTAGGGAATCAGGGAAGACTTCATAGAGGTGACAGCGGTTGAACCAGGCTTTGAAGAAAAGGTAGCTGTCAGGTAGGCACAAAAAGGCAGAAGGAAAGATGTGCCAGGCAAAGGAGCAAAGGAAGAGAGGTAGGAAAGTCTGGGGAATGGAGAGGGAATTTCAAGTGTTACTTTCTGGTTATGTGGGATTTATGAAGAGGAATAGCATGAATAGGATGAAAATATGGTTTGGGCCGGATTGTGGGGGACCTGAATACCAGGCTAAGCTGTTTGAATTTCAGGATTTTTTTTTTCCTTTTTCAGTGTTCTTCCTGATTTTCAATACACAAATTTGTGAATTGGAAATGCCTTGTTTTCTTAGCACTTTGGAATATTTCAGACAGTTTTCTTGGTATAAAACCTAAAAAGTCATATTTAATTTTACATTAATTTCCCCCAATTTTTAATTATGAAAATATTTAAATATAGAGAAAATTTTAAAGAGTAATACAAGGAAAGCCTCTTTACCTCTATCAAAATTCAACAATTAATATTTTGCATGTAATTTCAGGTTTACAGAAAAGTTACAAGAATACACAAAAAATTTTTGGAGAGCTTCCATCCAGACTTTCTACATTTGTGCATGTGCTCTCTCTCTCTCAACATTGATACAATTATTTTATCTAAAGATCTGATTGAAATTCTTCTCAATTCTCCCAAAAATATCCTTTGTGAGAAAAAAAAAAAGAATCCAAGATCATGTGTTGCATTCAAGTGATGTGTCTCTTTGTTGTCATTATTAGTTACCATCTAGTTGATTTCAACTCACGGAGACTTAATGTGTGCAGAGTAGGACTGCTCCGTAGTCTCCTTTAATCTGGAACAGTTTCTGTTTGTATTTCAGGATATTGATATTTTTAAAGAAGACGGGTCAATTATTTTGTAGAATGTCCTTCACTTTAGGGTTGTCTGATGTTTTCTTATGATAACTTTCAGTTTATGGGTTTATAGCAGTAATACCACATCAGACAGAAGGAGACATTCTTTAGATCAAAAAATCAAGATACTACCTCAAATAGTTACGTGTGGTTTACATTAAAAAAGCTGTGAAGGGTAGCATTTGAAAAAGTATGATACACAAAAGCTAAAGGAAGAAAGTAGAAATGAAACATTTTTTCAAATTTAAAAGTAACGATGAGCCCTGTTTTATTTTTTTTTAATTTTTAAATCTTTTTTTTTTTCTCTCCATTTCTATAGTCTGTTCATTACCAACAGAGGTAAGTCCTTTTAAAATTCTCTTTTTTAACTTAGGCAGTTGAGGTCTTTTTTTTCCTGGTATACTTTAAATGATAGTGTAAAAAAAATAAAGTACATGAACAGATAGGTCCAATCTGAATTTAGTTCATATTTAAAGACCAGTTTATATTATTGTGATTCAGATTGTTGCAAGTCATAAAAACGGAGTGTTTCCCAGTGTTTTATTATTTCTTTTTTATTATAGTTGTTGTCATTTTAGAGCTAACTTGCAAACTTTTTTTCCTCCTATTTTTCATTTTCTATCATTCCATAGTAGAGTTTCAACCTTTTATAGAGACCTTTAAGGAGCCCTGGTGACACAGTGGTTAAAGCGCTCAGCTGCGAACCGGAAGGTCAGTGGTTCAAACCCACCAGCTGCTCCATGGGAGAAAGATGTGACAGTCTACTTCCGTAAAGATTTACAGCCTTGGAAACTCCATGGGACAGTTCTCCTCTGTCCTGTAGGGTTACTGTGAGTCGGAATGGACTCAGTGGCAGTGGATATAGAGAACTTTGATTTGAAATAATTTTATAGTCTTGTAAATTCTTTTTTTTTTTAATTTTGGTGAAAATCTACACAACAGAACTTAAACCCATTTGGCAGTTTCTGCGGGTACAGTTCAGTAACACTGGTTACATCCTTCATGTTGTATCACTGTTCCCACTATCTACCCATATTGTTTCAGCTCCGTTGACTTAGACTCACTACCCGCTAAACATCTCATCTATGCTTTAGAGTTACTGTTGTCAATTTGATCTCATATATACATAATTCTTTAAAAGAGCACAATGCTCATTGCAAATACTCTTTACTAATTTAGCTGAGGAAATCCTGGTGACATCGTGGTTAAGAGTCTGGCTGCTAACCAAAAGACTGACAGTTCGAATCCACCAGGCGCTTCTTGGCAACCCTATGGGGCAGTTCTACTTGGTCTTATAGGGTCGCTATGAGTCGGAATCGACCTGGCAGTGGTTTGTTTTTTTTTTTTTTAATTTAGCTAAACTGTTATTTAGTTTAAAGATGACTTCAGGGGATAATTTTGGTTCACAGCAATAGATTTGGGGGTTCCTCCAGTCTCAGTAGATCCTGTAAGTCTGGATTCTGTAACAATTTGAAATTCCGTTTCGTATTTTCCCCGTTTTTGATCGGGATTTAATCTATTAATTCCTTGATCAAATTGTTCAGTAACGGTAGCCCAGCAGCATCCAGTTCTTCTGGTCTCATGGCAAAGGAGTCAGTAAGTAGCTCATGGAGACAGACCTGCAGTCCAGTTCCTTCTCCAATTCCTGGATCCCCTCCTTCCTCTGCTGCTTTAGGCGAATAGAGAACTACTATTACATGTTGGGTGGACGTTCGCAAGCTTTTTTTTTTTTAAAAAAAGAAAAAACATTTGTTGTGTTTTAGGTGAAAGTTTACACTCCGAATTAGTTTCCTATTCAATAATTCATATACAAATTCTGCTTTGACATTTGTTCCTAATCCCCACAATGTGTCAGCACTCTCCCCATTTCCACCCTGGGTTCCCTGTTTCCATTCGTCCGATTTCCCTGCCCCTCCTTGTTTTCTCATCTTTGCTTTTGGGTAAAGGTTGAACATTTGATCTCATATAGTTGATTGTTTAAGGGAGACTACTCATGGGTGGTATTGCTTATTTTATAAGCCAATCTATTGTTTGGCTGAAAGGTGACCTCCAGGAGTAGCTTCAGTGCGAAGTTCAAAAGGTATCTTAGAGGATTCCTCTAGTCTGTTGGTTCAGTAGGTCTGGCCTTTTTTATAAATATGAATTTTGTTCTGTTTTTTCCTGCGATTGTATCTGGGACCTTCTATTGTGTCCCTGGTCATAGCTGATAGTGCTAGCCGGGTACCATCTAGTTCTTCTGGTTTCAGGTTAGAAGAGGCCTGGTTTGTGTGGCCTGTGCATCCTGTGGACTAGTTTCTTCTTCGCATTTTTGATCTCCTTCATAATAGTAACCTTAAAGCCAAAATTTACGTGTCCAGGCAGAGGAAAGAACGAGCAGAAATTGTGTTTAAGACTTTCTGTTAATAAGCTTCTAAGTCAGGCTCAATGGGCAAGCCATGAAAATAATGAGGCACCTGTGTGCCCCGTGGAGACCTGGTGGCACAGTGGTTGAGAACGTGGCTGCTAACCAAAAGGTCAGCAGCTCCTAATCTACCAGCCACTCTTTGGAAACCCTGTGGGGCAGTTCTGTTCCGTCCTCTAGGGTCACTGTGAGTCGGAGTCAGTTCTACAGCAGCTGTTTGGTTTTTGTTTGGTGTGTGTACCCAAAGCAAGACACAGGCAAACATGCTTGTGTTTGTTTGTTTGTTCCTTTTTCTAATGGCCCTTGTGTTTGATGGAGAGGAAATAAATTGATACAGTTGAAGAGGTACCTGATCCTTTTTTTAATTCCTAATTTTTTACAGTTCATTTCCTGGTCCCTAGCCAAATACAGCTTTCCAGTGGTTAGGAAGTCGCGTAGTTATTTCATTATTCTTTGTATAGCAGGTCTAGGGAGTGATTTTTAATTAAAATGTATTGGTTGCTTGAAAATGTTTTGTTGTGACTTTTCAAACAGTTAAATTTATTATTTCTTTTTTCTTCTTAGTATTGTGAATATATGCCTGACGTTGCTAAATGTAGACAATGGTTAGAGAAAAATTTTCCCAAGGAATTCGCAAAACTTACCGTAGGTAAGAACTTTTTTTTTTCGTATCATGAAAGCTTTTGTAGCTGAAACAAATGGACATATTACATTATTTTTAAAAAATATGAAAGTCCTCTTCTAGTAGGATATTACAGAATTAGTTCTGCCTGTATCTATTAACTTTAAAGCTATTTAAGTTCTTGGGTTAAAATCCCTTATATGGAGTCACAGACTGTTTCATGTGTCGTCTTTTGCGACAGGATAAGTCTGAGTATCAACTTACAAAGGAGAGTAAATGATTTAGGGCAAATACATCTTTACTCATTTATGTAACAAAGTATTTATTGTGAACCTACTAGCGCTACACAGTTCTAGGTTGCTGAGGATAAAGCAGAAATAAAAGATGCCCTGCTGTTGTGGAAATTAAATTCTAGGAAGGTAAACAGAATAAGTAAAACGTCAGTATGTTAGTGATGAGCAGGGAAGCGGGGGGATAGGAAGTGTTGGGGGGAAACTTGAAATTTTAGATAGAAGGAGCAGGGAAGAAGATGTTTGAATAAAAACCTAAAGGAGGTGAGGGGGGAGCCATGTGGATATCCGGAGAAAGAGCATTTCAGGCAGAGGGCACAGCCAGTGCAGAGGCCCTGAGACAGAAGCATACAGCGGGGAGACCATTGTATCTGGAACTGATTGAAGGAGGTGGAGGAGATGAAATCAGAGAAGTAATGGGGGATTAGATCTTGTATGACCTTGTAGACCATTGCAGAGTCTTGGCTTTTACTGTGAGTGAGATAAGGAGCTTTTGGAAGGTTTTGAACAGAAGAATGATAAGGTCTCAGTGTTGTTCAGCAGCATCACTTTCGCTGCTGTGTTAAAAATACACAGAAAGGGGTATAGGCAGAAGAGCAAGGAGACATGGTCGGAGGCTGTTGGTAATAATCTGATCAAGAGATGATGATGACTTAGACCAGAACAATGGCAATGGAGGGGGTGAACAATGGTCAGATTCTGGATATGTTCTGGAGGTAGCACTAACAGGATTTTCTGATGTGCTGGATGTGGGGCATGAACAAAAGAGGCATCTGAGGTTTTGGTCCAAGCAATTAGAAGAATAGAGTTGCCGGTGCCTGAAGTGGAGAAGACTGGAGAGGGAGCAGATTTGCTCAGTTGGCTCAAATCGGTGGCTTCTTTTACCAGATTAGTAAAAATGAAGGTGGTAGTGGGAAGAAGGGGATGCCTGGGCTGGGAATATACCCAAACCCATTACCATCGAGTTGATTCTGACTCATAGCAACCCTATGGGACAGAGGAGAACTGCCCCATAGGGTTTCCAAGGAGCTGCTGGTAGATTTGAACTGTCAAACTCTTGGTTAGCAGCCAAGCTCTTAACCACTGCACCACCAGGGCTCCAGGCTGGGAATACCAAAAAAAAAACAAACAAACTAGGGCTGGGAATAGGCCTCCTTAAATACACCTAATATTGCCCTACTTGCAGTGGTTAAAGTGATCGACTGCTAACCAAAAGGTCAGCAGTTCGAAACCACCAGTGGCTCTGCTACAGAAAGATTGTGGCAGTCTGCTTCTGTAGAGATGTACAGGCGTGGAAACCCCACGGGGTCACTATGAATCGAAATCGACTTGGCGGCAGTGGTTATTTGCTGCTTTAATTTCCAGGTTTTTCTGTGAGGCACAAACCCCGAAGCTCGGCCTTTGGGGCAGTCACTGTCAGCAGTTGGTTAAGAACCCTCGTCTCGTGTGCAGTCAGTCGATGTGGTCTGCCCTGAATATAACCTGCCCAGGACATGACTGAGACTTTAGGGGGAAGACGCCCTTCTCATCCAGGACAGACTTCCTGTTAACAAATTAGTATCTGCTCAACACTGCTATGGAACCTGAGTGGTTTATGCTGCTTTCACATGGTTAAAAAATCCTGTTCCTCATATATCAAAGGCTTTATTGCTTTCCCTTCCGTAGAATTTAGACACCGTGATGGCGTTTCAGAAGTCACTGAATAGAGATCTAGCAATAAAGTCATTGGCTTCATAAATGTCATGTTCTGGTGTTGGTGACTGCCTTATTTGTGTATAAGGTTGCTTAAAGGGTGATTTCTTTTATTAAAGGTATGAAGTTATGTTAATGCTTTTGGGTTTCATTTGTATGCCTAGAAAATTCACCTAAACAAGAAGCTGGAATTAGCGAGGGTCAAGGAACGGTAGGAGAAGAGGAGGAGAAGAAAAAGCAAAAAAGAGGTAAGACTTAAGTCTATGTTTTGAGTTGTTTAAATGCATCTTTCGTTTTGGTAGAAGATATAAGTATTAAAAGGGTTCCCAAAATGAATATCTAATGTTATTTTAATCCCACATGTATATCATACAGAGGGATATGTATATAGAGGGATAAAATCATAGTCTTAGGAGGATGCTTAAATGTGGTGTGATTTGGGTTCTGTCAGTAAATTGGACCTGAGAAAGCTTGCATATTTGCCCTGTATACATACATAAAAAGTGACCAGACAGCTTATTTATGACCTTAAAACTCTGTTACCTTGTTATTAGAATACCTGTATATCCTGTTTAGAGTGAGTGTGCGTTTACATAAGATTTATTCTCCTTATTCTGATAGCTCAGTAGAATACTTTTACAGCTGTTGCGTATACCTGTCTTTTCTGTTCTCTCTTCCTTTAAAACTAACTCCTGAATGTGTACTCTGGATCTTGTCCCCCTGTGTTTCTTCTTCATTAATTTTTCTCCTCTATGAATAACATCAGATTATAAATATTTTGGAGGGCTTTCCATTTTTAAAAAATATTCTTCCCAGAACCCATGTTGTTTTTGCCTTGTTCTCCCTTCCTTCCTTCCTTCCATTCTAGCCAGTCTGCTTTACAAAGAGTAGACTCACCATCCCACTTTTATTCTGTTGTCCACGGTTCGCTCCTTATTTCATCCGAACCTGACTTTAACGCCACCGAAACCCCTCTGATAAAAGTCATTAGTCACTCGGTAATTGCTAAATAGTAAGAGCATTTGACCACTCTCTTCTTGAAGCGTTGTACTTCCTTGGCTACTGTGGCACCATTTCCTAATTTTCTGTCACTTCTCAGTCTCCTGTGTAGACTTTCTCCTGTTCCTTGAAAGTTGGTGTTTTCCGGGATTTTGCCCTTGTCCTTGTCCTTTTGCCCCTTTGTCTTAGTTATCTAGTGCTGCTGTAACAAGTGCCACAAGTGGATGGCTTCAACAAGCAGAGGTTTATTCTCTCACAGTCTGGGAGGCTAGAAACCTGAATTCAGGGTGTCGGCTCCAGGGGAAGGCTTTCTTTCTCTTTCTGCTCTGGAGGAAGGTCCTTGTCATCAATTTTCCATGGTCTAGGAGCTTCTCCGTGCAGGAACCTCAGGTCCAAAGGATGCGCTCTGCTCCCAGCACTGCTTTCTTGGTGGTATGAGGTCCCCCATGTCTCTCCGACAGCTTCTCTCTTTTATATCCCAAAAGTGATTGGCCCAAGACACAGTCTAATCTTGTAGATTGAGTCCTGCCTCATCAACATAACTGCCTGTAGTCCCGTCTCATTAACATCAGAGAGATAAGATTTACAACGCATAGGAAAATCACATCAGGTGACAAAATGATGGGCAGTCACACAATACTTGGAATCATGGCCTAGCCAAATTGATAGACATATTTTTTGGGGACACAGTTCAACCTATGACACCTTTCATCCTGCATATTTTCCCTGAATGCTGCTACCACATCCCTGCCTTCTTTCACCACTTAGGATTTCCAAATCTTTATCTGGAGACCTGGCCTGTGTCTCCCAGGCACCTCAGACTCAGCACTTCCAAAATTAAATAATTACATCCCAAGTCTACTACTTTTTGGTTCGTGAAAGCGTAGTTTATATCCAGCTATCCAAGTCAGAAACCCACAAGCCATCTTAGCTTCTCTCTCTTCACCCCCTTTAATACAGTTCTAAATTCTGTTGTTTTTCCTCCTTACTCTCTCTGTCCTGTGCTTTGCGTCCATTACTTTTGCCACTGCTGTGGTTCAGCTTTTGATTAACTTCTGCCTGAACTAATGCCAGCGCCTCCTCGCTGGCTTTTCTTTCAGCCTTCTCCTTCACAAACCCACCCCCATGCTGTAGTCAGAGTGATTCTGCTAAAACATAAATCTGGTCATTTCACTCCTGCAAAGTCTTTTGATGGCTTCTCCTCGTCCACAGTACAAAGTCCAAATATCAGAGCTTGATGTACCAGCCTGTTAGTGACTAGTCTGTAATCTTTGCTCTTCTGGTATCTTCTGCCACATATCCATAAATATCCTTCAGTCATAACAAGTGTAGTTCCCAAATACAATGCCTTTTCTTATCTCTGTACCTGTTCCCTTTCCCTTTCTTACACCTCTCAGCCCGTCTTCCTGCACCTGGACAATCCCTTCTTATCCTTCAAGACCCGACTTAGAGGGCACTTACTCAAGGGAACCTTTTCTGCCCTCTGGAAGCAGAGTAAGCCGTTCTGAGCAAAGCTGTGGTAGTGCCTTAGTGATGGACCCTGTTACAGGAGTCAGGTTGCTGTCATTACTTAACTGTTTGGTCTTCCTTCACTAGACTGTGAGTCCCTGGAGGGCAGGGGCTATGTTCTGTTCATCTTTGTGCGCTCAGCCCTTAGCGCAGTGCTTGGCACATAGTAGGTACTTAATAAATGTTTGTTGAATGAATGCTCATGCATGTATTTATTAATTTCATATTAGAGAAAGGAAACTTTAAAAATTAATTTTTGGTACCTTTTGGAAAATAACAAATGTAAAGACTTAGTATTCTATAATCGTTCATGTTAAAAACGAAACAATTAATGCTGAGCTCTTTCTTAATAAAGGTGGAAGGGGTCAAATAAAACAGAAAAAGAAGACTGTACCACAGAAGGTGACGATAGCCAAAATTCCGAGAGCGAAGAAGAAATATGTAACAAGAGTGTGTGGCCTTGCAACTTTTGGTGAGTTCGGGCTTGAGGACATTTAAAATAACAAAGTGCGAACTGTGTTTTCTCTCTTTGTTAATCTGGCATCACGAAAACTTTACAGGTCTTTTTTTTACTCAGAAAATACAAAATGAGGGTTTGCTTTTCTAACTATAGCTTCAAAATTAATTTTTGGAGAAAGTAAAAAGTCTTTTGTAGAGAGGACTGGTATAACCTTTTCCTTTCTGGAACTCTTGTGGGACACATTTTATGTAGGATGAGGAGGGCTGGGTAGGATTCCCTGTGAAGCCTACCAAAGCTGCTCGTCTGTCCTCTGCAGGCCTGGTGGCAGAGGGTTGACAATGGCTCGTCCCTTCTGGGAATGACAGTAGAGGGTGAGGGCAGGCATGTGGCAGCAGAGTGTCCTGCTCCAGAGTCCCTTTGGTCCCCAGAGGCCTTAAGTAAATAGTGAAACTGGGGTGAAAAGGTAAACCAGGGCCCTTTCGTGTGTCAGCACAGATTGAAAACAGTCACTGGACCACATTATAAATATGAAGGTTTGTTTCTCTGTTTCTTTTTATTTTTGTAAAAAGCAGTAAACAGAAGCACCTCACTCTTACTTGAATGCAATGCTAGGAATTGATACGTTCCTGAATTTCTTTTGGTCTTGCTATATGATAATAAATTATGGACAGTATGGATGATGCTGTTTTTATGTACTGAGGCTTTATTTGACCTTGCAAAATATAAGTTGATTTGTTAAGACCACTTGCTATGGTAGTTTGTAATTACTGTTCTGAAGGAAATATGAAGCCCATTAAAGCAATCTGTTTTATGAATTTAAAATGCAGTTTAAATTTTTTATGTAGATGCCCCTTCATTATGTTGAGAAATTTCCCTTCTATACCTATTTTACTGAGAGTTTGTATCAGGAGTGAGTGTTAGACTTTGTCAGATGCCTTTTCTGTGTCAATTGAGATGATCATGTGATTCTTTTTTTCCTTTTATTTATGGGATAGATTATGTTGATTGATTTTCTAATGTTGAACCATCCTTGCATATCTGGTATGAATCCTACTTGGTCATGGTATATTATTTTTTTGATACGATGCTGAGTTCTATTGGCTAGAATTTTGTTGAGAGTGTTTGCATCTGTATTCATGAGAGATATTGGTCTGTAATTTTCTTTTTTTGTGATGTCTTTGCCTGGTTTTGGTCAGGGTTATGCTGGCTTCTTAGAATGAATTCAGAAGTATTGCTTCGTTTTCTATGTTCTGAAATAGTTTCAGTAGTACTAGAGTAAGCTCTTCTCTGAATGTTTGATAGAATTCTGCAGTGAAGCCATCTGGGCCAGGGCTTTTTTTGGTTGGGAGTTTTTTTTAATTACCTTTTCAGTCTTTTCTCTTGTTGTGGGTGTGTTCAGATGTTCAGCATCGTTTTGTGTTAGTTTGGGTAGGTAGTGTGTTTCTAGAAATTTTTCCGTTTCTTTTAGGTTTTCAAATTTGTTGGAGTATAGTTTTTCATAATATTCTGTCATGACCCTTTTTATTTCAGTTGGGTCTGTTGTAGTGTCCCCCATTTCATTTCTTATTTGTGTTATTTGTGTCCTCTCCTGTTTTTCTTTTGTCAGGCTGGCCACTGGTTTGTCGATTTTGTTGATCCTTTCAAAGAACCAGTTTTTGGTTTTGTCGTTCCTTTCTATTGTTTTTCTGTTCTCTATTGCATTTATTTCTGCTCTGATCTTTACTATTTCCTTTCTCCGGTGGTTGTGGGCTTTTTTTGCTGTTCTCTTTCTATTTGTTTGAGTTCTGTAGTTAATGTTTTGATTTTGTCCCTTTCTTCTTTTTTGATATGTGCATCTATCGCTATAAATTGACCTCTGGGGACTGCCTTTGCTGTGTCCCAAAGGTTTTGGTATGATGTGTTTTTATTCTCATTGGATTCTAGGAATTTTTCGATTCCATCTCTGATGTCTTCTATTACCCAGTGGTTTTTAAGCAGGGTGTTATCCAGTTTCCATGTAATCGATTTTTTTCCTTTGCTCTTCTTGTTTCTACTTTGATGGCATTGTGGTCAGAGAAGATACTTTGTATTGTCTCATCATTTTGGATCTTGTTGAGGATTGCTCTATGGCCTAAGATGTGGTCTATTCTGGAGAACGTTCCATGTGCGTTGGAAAAGAATGTGTACTTTGCAGCTGTTAGGTGGAGTGTTCTATAGATGTCTATGAAGTCATGTTGGCTAATTGTGCCCTTTAGCTCTTCGGTATCTTCGTGAGTTTATTTCTAGATGTTCTGTCCTTTACTGAGAATGATGCGTCGAAGTCTACTATTGTGGAACTGTCAATTTCTCTTTTCAGTGCTGTTTAGAGTTTGTTTTATGTATTTTGGAGCCCTGGCGTTCGGTGTGTATATGTTTATTATGGTAATGTCTTCTTGATAGATCATCTCTTTAATCATTGTATAGTGCCCTTCTTTGTCTTTTATGGTGGATTTTGTTTTAAAGTCTAAAATGCAGGTTAAATTTTTTAATGGAAAAATATCTTTGATGCATAATTCCAATTATAGTCTTGCTCTTTCTTTTTTCTAAAACACAGAAATTGATCTGAAAGAAGCACAAAGGTTTTTTGCTCAAAAATTCTCCTGTGGTGCCTCAGTAACAGGGGAGGACGAGATCATCATTCAGGGAGACTTTACAGATGACATAATCGATGTCATTCAGGAGAAGTGGCCAGAGGTCTGTGAACCACATGCATCCATAGAAATGCATATTTAAAGCAGGTAGCTTCCATATTTTCCCATTCGTTACCATAATTCATGAAATGTAATTATTTGTGTTTCATAGGTGGATGATGACAGCATCGAAGATCTTGGAGAAGTAAAGAAGTGATTTGGAAAATGTGTCTGTATTTAATGATCTGAACTGAGTTGATATGGCCAAAGAGAGGGAGGCCTTTTAACAAATATGTGTATTTATCCTACAGTAAAAACTGTAGACTACCCTTGTCCTTGGCATTTTCACTGTTCTGTACAAGGCCGCTTGTTGTTTTTTTTTTTTTTTTCCCAATTGCCAAAGTCTAATAAACGGGATACTGTCATGCTTATGCATCAAATAGAACTTAGTCAAATAAAAATTTTTGATCATTTGGTATTGACTTTTCTATCTTTGTTAGCTTTTTATTTTTGGAGAAACGTGGACCTTTTGTGGGAAGCATTTCTGTTGATTATTTTTACTGATTTAAAGTTGAATAATTTTTTTAAAAGAAATTTTATTTTGACTTCCTCACCAGTAATATCTATCTCCTCGCTCCTTTGATGTGGGACAAGGATCTAATAGATTTGTGGTTGAATTTGCTTCATTGTTATCAACAAAATCTACTTTGTAGGCACATTGGTATACTGTTGACAAGAGTTGTTAAAACTATTCTGGAGATTGTTTGGTAAAGTGTATTATAAGCCTTAAAGCCATATACACTGTTTAACCCAGTAGGCTACTTCTTTGACATTGTCATAAAGAAATAATCAGTCTTGCATAAAGCTTAAGAGGGAGTGTGTTCATCACAATGTTATTTCTAATGTCAGAAAATTGCAAATGATATAAATGAACAATTGAGGAATGGTTGAAGAAATTGTGGTACACCATATGATAGAGTATCGTGGTGGTGGTGTTAGGTGCTGTCAAGTCGGTTCCGACTCATAGCGACCCTGTGTACAGCAGAACGAAACACTGTCCAATCCTGCACCATCCTCACAATCATTGCTGTGTTTGAGCCCATTGTTGCAGCCACTGTGTCAATGCATCTGTCGAGTGGCTTCCTCTTTTTCTATGACCCTCTACCAAGTATGATGTCCTTCTCCAGGGATTGGTCCCTCCTGATAACACGTCCAAAGTATGTGAGACGAAGCCCCACCACCCAGCTTCTAAGGAGCATTCTGGCTGTACTTCTTCCAAGACAGATTTGTTTGTTGTTCTGGCTGTTTCATGGTATATTGTGCATATATTTAAAAATCATATTTTCCAAGAGTACTTGGAAACATGTTTGATAATATTAAATGGGGGACAGACCCCCAAATCCATTTTATACATTTTTTTAATTGTAAAAATATATATAACAAAACACCTGCCATGTCAACATTTTTTACATATACAGTTCAGTGACATTAGTTATGTTTATCTCTACATTCATTTTCATCATTGTTTGAATGCAAGGACTTTGAGAGAGACTGATAGCTCTTGTTCTAGCTCTAAAATTATACAAGTAAAATTCTGCTAGCCAGTTATAAATAATTTACATCCATGCTCAATCTGTAATCTGGCAATTGAAGCATATTTTTCTCATAAGGAAAAGTGACAATTCTAGTCAGTCCGTCAAATGAATTTAGACTTTGTTTTTATAAAGGTCTTAAGTCAGGTGCTATAAATTGAAAAGAAGAATGGTGGTATTTTAAGTTGCTAATTGACTTCCGCAAGGCGTTTGGGCTTTGGTTTATAGATGTTTGAGAAATTTAGAGCCCATAAGACCATTGTGTATTGTCATGCAAATTGAAGAATGAATGAGAAGTTTTAAAAGTATAGTCTTAGAAAAAGTGTAATAAAGATACAAGTTAAGAAAATGAAGTTCTGCATTAATTGAGTTTTACTAAATAGAATATCTGATTAAGCAAATTTATCCATCAAGACCATTTGGTATGTGTTACATATTCTGTTGGTACTGGAACATATGTGTGTGGCCATATTAACACATGACTCCATGTAAAGATTTAATGTTCACAGTTCTTGGCAAATGCGGTTGCAATCCATATACAGCCAGCAGTGGATGTTACTGCAGGAAAATACAGGATTAAAATTATCCTTGAATGTAACGTATATGTGAATCTTTTACTTTGATCTGGAATTTAAAACGCAACATAGTTTAATCTCTGGTTAAAATGTAATAATAGCTCAAGGATTGACTTTAATTCACACATTCTCTTTAGGTATGTATTATGTAAATGTTTTACAGTCTAGTACTTAAAGCAAAAAGAATACCAACATTTAAACAGCTTTATCTCATAAAAATGAGATTTGCCATGATGGAGCTGGCAGTGTCAAATTCAAATAATTTTGATATGTAGTACTTTATTCATTTAAAAAAAAAGATGCTGACAAATAATTTTAAACTTTTTTTAGTTATTACATAAGAGTCTCAGTAGCTGTTAAGATATAATCTGTAGCAGTTTTCTCTGTGTCAAAAAGTCGACAAATTACTATTTTAAAGATGAATTCTGCCTTTTACTAAATTCCTTTACCTAGGAAATAAGGAGACTGGAATGAGTCCACTCAGGTCTTCAATTTGGAAATACGACTCTTAAAAACATTTGGTAATTTTTCTTGCTGGTAATGCTGTCTAATGGGGTAAGTATGAGGGATGGGCAACCAGGGGTTAAATGTGATAAATAACTGCCTTTTTCATAGTCCAGTTCCTATATAGCATCTTGAAGAGGTAAAAACTATGAAACTACACTTGAAAAGGCCTAGATTTAACCCGGGACGTGGTAAATTTTGTCATGATAGAGTGCCATGGTTCTTACTGCTATCCAAGAGCTACGTCAAGAGAACAAAAAAAATTTTAATGAATTTCTCTTTTCATCCGTGATTTGTGGTTCTGCGCTGACTTTAGGGTGCCCAGTAGCTATTCACTACCAGGGCCGGGACTCTCTCTCCGTTTATTCATTCACTCATTCATTCGTTAGTCGGGAACCGAGCTCACAGTTTACAGGAAGACGGAAAATGAGCAAGCAACTCAATTTAGGACGTAGAAATAGCTTTAATTTGTTTAATCATTCACTGGGTATTGGCATAGAACCGGTTCTTTGAGGACCCGGCAGCGCTGGGGCTCTAAAACATTAAAATTTCAGATTAACTATTTGGGACTCTGAGACGCCGATATGCAGGCGCGAGAAGCCGGAAGAATGGAGCTGTGCGGAGCGGCTTCCCCACGAGCCCCGAGTGACAGCCCCGCCCCGTATCCCCGGGGATCGCGCGATAACTGGGTTGGCCCCTCCGCGACGCCGTAGGCCGGGCGGGCCGGGCGCATTTGATTTGGGAAGGCGGTTTGTGGGCTCCCTTGGTCCGGTCGACGGCGCGGGGCGCCGGGCTCGCCCCCGCCGCTTCGGGCGGGCGCGCCTATGGCGTTTTTAAGGTGACGCTGCCCACACCGACTTTTCCCGGGGCGGGGGAAACGCCTATGAACCTTTCAGCGACCTTCCTCGCCGGCTGCCAGGTGAGTGGGCGCTCGCCGGCTCCTCAAGCGCGTCTGGACGCGAGTAAAGCGCAGGTCGCTTGAAAGAACAGTGCATTTTGGCTAAATTCTGGTGTTGTTCTTATTAAAAAAACGCGTTCTGCTTAAATTTAAAACAGTGCACAAGTACATGGCGTAAAAACTGAGCATCACACCTGTCTTCCTAATCTAATAAACCAAAAGTTGTTACTCGGTCTAGGGGCTCACATTTTAATGATAGCAGTTGGCTTTCGTGAAGTTGCTTTTCTGTACACCACCTCGCTTGTTTTCCTAATTTATCTCACAGTAAACTCCGTTATACTAAAAAGTCCTGAAATGGACTTACCCAGGGTTTTCCAGCTTGTTTTATTTTCATTATTGCGTTTGTCAATATATGATAAAATGAACGTTTTTCGTATATTTGCTGTTTGCGTGTACATAATACAAGCTTGCCTTCCATGATCATTGCTGTATCCCCTGTCACTGGCACTCAGTGTTTGCTGAATGAGCAGGGGCAGGTTACCCAATAAGCAAGGTAAGCATGAGCTTATTTATGTTTACTTACTAATCTGTAGTGAACAATTTCACCACAGTGAAAACCATGTGAAATTGTTCACTACAGATTAGTAAGTAAGCACAAGTAAGGCCGCCCTTACCTTGCTTATCGTGTAATCTGCTCCTGTGAGTGAATGAACGAATGAATGGCTTACCTAAGACTGGAATTCAGGTTTTGTGACTGGGAGTGAGCTGACTTCAAGTTCCATTTTCTTTTCACTAACTAAAGTATACTCAGTGACTAGCACCAAACCAAAACCAAACTGGTTGCTGTCAAGTCAGTTCCGACTGATAGCGACCCTATAGGACAGAGTAGAACTGCCCCATAGGGTTTCCAGGGAGCGGCTGGTGGATTTGAACTGCCAACCTATTAGTTAGTAGCTGAGCTCTTAACCACTGCGTCACCAGGGGTCCTCAGTGACTAGTAAGTAACTGTAATTCATTCATCATTAGTATTTACTAGAAGTCTTATTTTTCAAAAAGCAGAAATGATTGTACCTAGGCCTCTGGTGAACTTTTAACTGTTGCCTTTAAGGTCAAACTCTTACAGTAACACTTTCAGTTCTTTATTTCATAGAAGGGAACAGTATCATCATTTGAAATGTGATTTACATCTTAATAATAGTGTTTGTTGAGTGCTTGTTATGTGCCAGGCCCTGTGCTAAGTGCTTTACAGAGATGATCTTGCTTACTCCACACAACAACCCTAAAGAGATAGGAGTGCTGTTATTACCATTTTACCAATGAGGAAACAGAGAAATTAAGTAACGTACCCAAGGTCATATAGCCACTAACTGGCTGATTCTGGATTCACTCTCAGGTTAGACTAATTTCCCTACACTAAAACCAAAACCAAACCCATTGCCATGGAGTCAATTCCTCCTCACAGTAACCCTATAGGATGGAATAGAACTGTCCCACAGAGTTTCCAAGGCTGTAATCTTTCAGGAAGCAAACTGCCTCATCTTTCTCCGTCAGAGTGGTTGGTGGATTCAGACTGCCAGTCTTTTGGTTAGCAGCCGAGTGCTTAACCACTGCACCACCAAGCCTCCTTTTAAAATTATAAAGTATATGCTTTATAAGGAATTATTGTAGATAATTGTGTTAGGTACGAAAATGGCATCATGGTTATGTAAGAACTGTTCATTTTAGAGATGCATACTGAAGTTTTTTAAGGGTGAAATGTATTTTATCAACAAAGAAAATGGAAAACAAGCAGTTGTGGCAAAATATTGAGAATAGTAAATCCAGGCAATGAGGAATGTATCGGAGTTTACAATTCTCTTGTTTTTTGTGTGTGTTTGAATTTTTTCCTTACAAAACTTATTTTTAATTAGGTATGTTGAGTTTGGACCAGTCACAATTTTACATTGTTCTTGTTAGATTGAGTGTGTATAGATGTTGTAGTTGTAATAAATATATGACACTAAGATTTCTTTTTTATAGACTAAAATTCCCATTCTTTAATAGAATTACTTAAACAGTAATTATTTCATGTTTCCCTTCACTTACTGCAGAATTGCTGGGGTAAGGTAGAGGGTAATATTGTTGACTGGTACAAGGAGAGAGTTCACAGCAAAGAAACTAAAATGCAGAAACGGGTTTATTTGTGGTTGGCCAGTGGAGGTTTTAGAAACAAAGTCCCACTTTTTAAGAGTAGTGTGCGTGATAGGACAGAGACTGATAGGCAGGGTACATGGGAGGTTTGAACTTGTTTAAATATACGTAATTTCAATGCCATGTTATTAACAGTGAGTAAAACTTCTTTAATTTTTCTAACTACTTAGACTTGGCAGCAAAAGAAGATACAAGTATTTAGAAAATATGCTTTGGCTGATTTATGTTATTGATTAGTTTTCTTTTGATGTAAAACCATTTTCTGTCTTTAGAACCTTGGGTCAGAAGTTGAGATTTCCACTATTGAGAAACAACGGAAAGAACTGCAGCTGCTAATTGGAGAATTAAAAGATCGAGATAAAGAGCTCAATGATATGGTTGCAGTACATCAAAGACAACTTCTTTCGTGGGAAGAGGATCGGCAGAAAGTGTTGACTTTGGAAGAACGTTGCAGCAAATTAGAAGGTCAGAAATACGTTCAGCAGCATCTCTCATACACGTCTATATGCGAACACATTTTTAGGGCTCCCAGGGAAGATAGAGAAGAAATAGAGGACACAACCCCTGCTGTCCAGGAGTTTAGTCTAAATTAGGATAGAAGACTTACGAACACTTCAATCAAACAGGCAAACAAATGTGAATTAAAGTAGGGCAAACAAAGAACTTAGATGTAAAGAGGGTGCATCGGTTCTCATTAGTAATTAAGGAAATCCAAATTAAAACCATAATGAGCTACTGTTTCACATCTACCAGACTGGCAGAAATTATTAGGTGTTGGTGAAGATGTGGAGCGAAGGTACTCATACCCTGCCGATGGGAGTATCGTTTGGCATCAGACTTCTTTGAATATCCTCTGGCCTGTCAAGTCCACTTCCAGAAATGTACTTACACTTCCATGTACGTGTGAATCAGCGAAGGATCTTGTTAAGCAAAGATTCTGATTCAGTAGGTCTGGGGCCCATGATTCTGCCTTTCTTACAGGTTCCTGGACGATGCCAGTGCAGCTGGCCTGGACCACATTTTGAATAACAAGGTTCTAGAGAAGCTTGCGTATATGCACCAAGATACAAATAGAGAAATATTCAGAGCAGCACAGTCCATAATAGCCACAAAGTGGAAACAACCCAGATAACCATCAATAGTAGAATGGATAGGTAAATTTTAGTATAATCATATAATAAAATATGATTATATATGACAATATATTATGTGTACTCGAACTGGGTTACATGCAGCAACAGACAAATCTTAGGATTCTAATCTTAAGCAAAAAAGCGGAGAGAAGAATTCATAGAGTATAATTCCATTTATATACGGTTCAAAAAGCTGTATTTTTTAGGGATGTGGTTAAAGGCTAATAAAAAGTCAATTATTTAAAGGGGACAAGGAAGCTGGTGATAGGGAACCCAAGGTTGAGTAGGGATATTGTTGATGTGTTGTGAGATTGTTAACCATTGTCATAGGGCAACATTTGTAGTAACTGTTAAATGAGAAACTCTTTTGTTCTGTAAGCCT